CGTCAAATGTGCTGGCTAACAGTAGCACTTCCTCTGCCGTGACCGTGTTTATGTTTGTACTTGACAGATACGAAATTACTTATTTGTATTAACAGGATACATTCGTTTCGGTAGTTTCGTATATACATAACACTCACGATGATGACAGCCCTTTTATAATTCAAGAAAGCTTCACTGAGTCTTAAAAGCTATTTTCGGGTGGCTGTCCATTCACGAGCGCTTTGGAACGTGCGTAGGCTTGCGTTTGCAATGACATATGGTGTGTGTTTGTAGCCATGATCGCACGTACGCACGTACGCACGTTTGTATGTGTATGTTTACACCTATGCATCTGTGTCCGTGCATTGCACCGCTTTGAGAGAATGCTGGGTCGTATTTACGAGCAAGTATTAGCAGAACTCCATTCTAAACTAAACTATGATTTTTTATTTTTACCAGGTAAGGCCCACTGAGCTATATTGCTCTTTTACAGAAGCGACCTACAGTGAGGGAAAAAAAGTATTTGATCCCCTGCTGATTTTGTACGTTTGCCCACTGACAAAGAAATGATCAGTCTATAATTTTAATGGTAGGTTTATTTGAACAGTGAGAGACAGAATAACAACAACAAAAATCCAGAAAAACGCATGTCAAAAATGGTATAAATTGATTTGCATTTTAATTAGGGAAACAAGTATTTGACCCCCTCTCAATCAGAAAGATTTCTGGCTCCCAGGTGTCTTTTATACAGGTAACGAGCTGAGATTAGGAGCACACTCTTAAATGGAATGCTCCTAATCTCAGCTTGTTACCTGTATAAAAGACATCTGTCCACAGAAGTAAGCAATCAATCAGATTCCAAACTCTCCACCATGGCCAAGACCAAAGAGCTCTCCAAGGATCTCAGGGACAATATTGTAGACCTACACAAGGCTGGAATGGGCTACAAGACCATTGCCAAGCAGCTTGGTGAGAAGGTGACAACAGTTGGTGCGATTATTCGCAAATGGAAGCAACACAAAAGAACTGTCAATCTCCCTCGGCCTGGGGCTACATGCAAGATCTCACCTCGTGGAGATGCAATGATCATGAGAACGGTGAGGAATCAGCCCAGAACTACACGAGAGGATCTTGTCAATGATCTCAAGGCAGCTGGGACCATAGTCACTAAGAAAACAATTGGTAACACACTACGCCGTGAAGGACTGAAATCCTGCAGCACCCGCAAGGTCCCCCTACTCAAGAAAGCACATATACATGCCCGTCTGAAGTTTGCCAATGAACATCTGAATGATTTAGAGGACAACTAGGTGAAACTGTTGTGGTCAGATGAGACCAATATGGAGCTCATCGGCATCAACTCAACTCGCCGTGTTTGGAGGAGGAGGAGGAATGCTGCCTATGACCCCAAGAACCCCATCCCCACCGTCAAACATGGAGGTGGAAACATTATGCTATGGGGGTGCTTTTCTGCTAAGGAGACAGGACAACTTCACCGCATCAAAGGGACGATGGACGGGGCCATGTACCGTCAAATCTTGGATGAGAACCTCCTTCCCTCAGCCATGGCATTGAAAATGCGTCATGGATGGGTATTCCAGCATGACAATGACCCAAAGCACACTGCCAAGGCAACAAAGGAGTGGTTCAAGAAGAAGCACATTAAGGTCCTGGAGTGGCCTCGCCAGTCTCCAGACCTTAATCCCATAGAAAATCTGTGGAGGGAGCTGAAGGTTCGAGTTGCCAAACGTCAGCCTCGAAACCTTAATGACTTGGAGAAGATCTGCAAAGAGGAGTGGGACAAAATCCCTCCTGAGATGTGTGCAAACCTGGTGTCCAACTACAAGAAACGTCTGACCTCTGTGATTGTCAACAAGGGTTTTGCCACCAAGTACTAAGTCATGTTTTGCAGAGGGATCAAAAACTTATTTCCCTCATTACAATGCCACTCAATTTATAACATTTTTGACATGCGTTTTTCTGGATTTTATTGTTGTTATTGTCTCTCACTGTTCAAATAAACCTACCATTAAAATTATAGACTGATCATTTCTTCGTCAGTGGGCAAACGTACAAAATCAGCAGGGGATCAAATACTTTTTTTCCCCCACTGTAGCCACAAATGATAGCTCAACGAAGTGGCTCACCATGTGGAAATGCACAGCAGCCAAATATACTCTAAACGCACGTGTCTAAGTGTGCAGGGAAAAGCCGGAGGACACGGAGAAAGAATCTACACGACCACGAGGAGAACACGCAAACTCCGATCATACAGGCGTCGTGGATCGAAACCACGACCTCCTATACACCAGGCGAGGTAGTTAACATCTCACCACCGCGGCGCCCGCTCGCTAAACACAACAACCGCCATTCGCCACTAAGTGGCGGTGACGTCCCCACGACGCTTGTGCCAGGCTATGTGCACCTTGAGGCCACGTGAAGCGTCGAACGCCCGCTGGCATGCATATATATGCATGCATTAATCTACCCGTCCCTCCTGACCGACCTGACATTGCAATTCGACGATTAATGCACCGATGTACACGACTCTGCAGCATTATATTGTTACGTCTGTAAATGAAAGGCCACGCGTTATTCGCTTCGTGCAGTCTCTGTCGTGTTTTCCTCAACGTGTTAAGATAACTCACGTGGCGTTGCGCGTGACAGCCTCAGGATTGTACGCACGTGACTATCCATACTCGTATCCAGACACGGGATATTCACTATATTATGTATGATATTAATGATTGTGACTATTTTTGTACTCCAGAGCGAGGCATTTGAGGTAAATGGAATAAATTCCAACGTCAGCTCGGTGTATCGTTTAAATTGCAGTGACAATGATATAAACGACAAATTCCCTCTCGATTGGCCATTCAATATAACGCAAATTTAAGATTGCTTTAATACGAAAAAATAGCTCAAGTCTTAAAACGAAATTAATAATTTTACGTAGTTATTTTTTTAAAGGCTACATAAGCTGCAGAACGATACACACGTGCACACATAAAATACGTACGGACGCGCCACTTTACAAACACCTTTGCATTGTTAACATATCACCATCACACACAAAGGAATTACACATTTAATATGGCGCGTGATATCTAAACACACTACGTAATGTTTTATTATTTGGAGCCTGTTTATCCTTCGCTACTGTCTCTACGTTTTAAACAAATACTCAATCGCCCCAGGGAACAAACCAACATTAGTCCTGCAGGCCAGAGTCTGTGTCCGTGTGTGTAAAAGTGTGTGTGTGTGTGTGTACGTGCGTGCGTGTGTGTGCGTGTGTGTGCATGCATGTGTACGTGTATGCGTGCGTGGGGTTGGCCAATAAACGCCCTAAGTGTGGCGTGTTGTCCTTCATCTGTGCTGTCTCACAGCACTTGCCCCAAATGCATGTGTAGGCTATACGGGGGCTCTTTATATATATATTTTGTGCGTGTGTGTGATGGGGAGCGGTAGTGTAGTGGTTCTACGAACCCGGCGGCCCGAGTTCGATTCCCGCTTTCGGCCAACACCAGTGACGATCATCCGAATCGGTCCTGGGCATCCACTAGGTCAACTCAGCCTCAAATGAGTACCTGGCGTGGTGTTGGCCCCCCACCCCATCGTGTGCTGTACCGGCCTGTATAGGTGCTCGCTAACAGCACTTGCCCCAACAGTCTGTTCAGGCTATACAGGGGATCGTTGTCTTTGTGATGGAGACAAAGGCGGGCTGGCGTAGTGCTGGCCACCATATCCCATCGTGTGCCGTGGCGGCCGTCATAGGTGCTACTCACTAACAGCACTTGCCCCAACAGTCTGTTAAGGCTACACGGGGGGTCTTTGTCTCTGTGTGGGTGACGGCTGCGCGCTTATACGATCTGAGGCCAGAAAAAGCGAGGAACCTTCACCTCTCACCCGGCAATTTAAGACAACAAACACAATCAAACGCTTCTTTAAACCTCCGCATCTTGATAATGGCCGGAGCGGACACTGATGGTCCCCTGATGGCGAGGTTCGATGATAATGGTGATGGTGACGATGAGCGGTTATCTCTCTGAAGGCGGTGTTCAATAAAGATGTTCATGTTGGTGAGTTTCGGGGGGTCGATAAAGCATGTACCACTTTGTGATATACGTCACTGGTAAGTAAGCAAGTCGTATGCACGCCTATTTTGAACTCTCTCCCGACATATAAGGGAAGGAGATCGATATGAAACGTGATACTTTTTAAGGGGAGATAATGACGGCGTTGATAATGATGTAGTAGTCAACAACATCAACAACAACCACCAGGTGTTATCGGGCGTCGCGGGGCTACGTAGTGGGCTGTTCCCCAACAAACTCGCACTGACCAGAGTGCTGAAGTGTGATCAAACAGCCCCCACGACCTGCGCGGCATCGTGGTTGTTTAATCAACCACTTGGTGAACAAAACAGTTTTTCACGTATATATATGTGTACGTGCAGGTGTATAACAATTAAAACGTATCTTTAAATCGTCCATTCGGCGCGTCAATACAACTCCATCGCAACAGTGCGAACGCGACATTGCTTGTCGTGGGCTGATCTTAGGAGACGAGGGAGATAGCGACGGTGGCAATTGCATGACGGAGAGAGCAAAGCACTATAATGTCGGACTTAAATGTACCCCGTGCGTGAACTGCGCTGCCTTTTAGTGGCAGCAGAGTGCTCACAATCACACGACGCGCACCACGGCAGTGAGTCTATAGCACCACGCGCAGGCTAAAGCCCTTCCCCCTCCCCCCGTCCGTCCGTCCGTCGGAGCAGGCCCTCGTGTGGTGGGTGACACGGCCCCAATCCGAGTGACAATCGACGCCGCGAGTTTGTCGCCTGTCAGAAAAGGCAGAGGGACGAGGCGACACTTCGCGCTCAGCGCATGCGTGTCGGGGCCACCCGCTTGCCCACCCCATTCAAAAACACAACCCCGCCTGGAGATACGGGCAGGCGGGGCGGAGCAGGGATTCAGGGTTGGGGGGGGGGGGGGTGTGGAGGAGTGGGGGTGGTATCTGTAGAACAGCATAGGCGAGCGAGCGAACAGCGCCATTCACAATCACAAAGTGAAAGCCACGCGCGCATCGCTCCTCGTTAAACGCGAGAGATCCGAAACAGCACACTTTGCAACAATAAAGGACGCCAATCGCTTGCCTATATGCGCTTTGCTCTGTAACACGCCTGCCTCTGAACCCACGGCTCTCCGCAGTGCGCCGAGCTGCACGTACTGCAGCAGCTCACGGTTGAACTTCGCGTGTTTCAGAGAGATCGCGCGCGCCCGCGCGAGTGCTGTGTGCGTGCGCGCGCGCGCGCGCATCCGCAGTGCGCGCGCGCGCGAGTGCTGCGCGTGCGTTTCGCTTCTTAATTAACCAAACAACCTCGCTGGCTCAACTGGCCGGCTGGCTCGCAGCGCTCCCCGCCGATCGGAGCGGTGAGGAGGGCTCGCCCGGCCGAGGAGGAGCATGTCGAAGCCGTCCTCCCCGCTCAAGCTCAAGCGTCACGCGCCCGCAACGCGGCTGTCGCCCTGCGCCGCAGCCGCCCTGCAGGACAGCTCCGTCACTGCCTCCGGTGAGCTTCCAATGTCGATTTACTCCCCCGTCCACCCACGTCCCCCGCTTGTTGAGGTGCTGTCAACGCTGTGGTCTGTGTGAGTAGATTGGAACACAAGCCCCCCCCCCCCCCCCCCCCGTCATAGTAATGTGGAATTGATACCAATTGCCCAGGGCCGCCAGTGGAGACGAATACCGCTCGAGAATGAGTTCAGCCAAGCCGCATTGACTTAAGTGGACATTTTGATTTAAAGCTTTCGTGACTGCAGGGATTCATATTCTTGTTTCCCTTCTATGTGACTTTACCGAAAGAACCAAGAATTAAGTGGACATGTTTTACTGAATGCGGTCCATTCGTCATCCCGAGCGTCAGTGTAATCTTTTGAAGATTCTTATCCATTGCCGCACGTAGGGGTTTTTTGTTTGTTTTAATTCGCTGCCCGTTTCTTTCGCTGTTTATAGACGATACACATCGGCGACCCATCGCTCGTCTAAGTATGGGGACGCGGTGTGACTTTGACAACGTACAGAGAGACGGCAGGCCCATCGCATTTCCGAATGCGAGGTAGTTTATCATCCATCTACAACGCCTGCTTACCACGTGCGCGCATTTCATTTGCGCGCCGCATATGGGCCCAAGGTAGCATCCGGAAAGAGTGAGTCCGCTTAAGGGTGAAATCGATTAATGTTGCAGGTGTTATCGCTCATTGATGTGCTACGGAGAAGGGGCCATTGCCCGAAACGTCGCCAATCATGCTCTCTCGTTGTGAAGCAACAGTGTTAATGTCGAGCGTGTGAGGCTTGTTATCTGCTATCAGATATGCTCTCTCGAATGATCGGATGATGATGATGATGATGGATGGGTCCTGTAGCCGCGTCGCAGTGTCGATCAGACGCGCACTTTGCTCCGCTGGAGTGGTTTACAGCCCCCGTGCACCGGGCTAGGTTATCTCCGGCGGCGCTGTTTAAGGGGCCGCGGCTGTCGGCGGCTTTTTGCATGGAGCTTGCCGCCGGCGAGTCGTGAACTTTTGATCGTTGCCCCGCAAACACGCGGCGCGAGATCGGTGCCTTTTATGATCCGCTCGAACAAGCGACTCTCCGAGCTGCCGGGCTCCAAGCCGCCGTCGCGGCGCGGTTGCGGGGTGCGGAGAGAGCCAGCGAGACGAATGATTGCTCACCTTGTGCTGTGCACACACACAACACACACACACATAGACAAAGATCCCTCCCCCCGTATAGCCTTAACAGACTGTTGGGGAAAGTGCTTTTGAGCGAGTATCACCTATGAAGGCCGGCACGGCACACGAGGGGGTGGGTGGCCAGCACAACGCCGGACCGCCTTTGTCTCCCTAGTGGCGATGTTTACACACCGCACCACGTACTAATTTGAGGCTGAGTCGACCTCGGAGAGCCACAGGACGGGTTCAGATAATCGTCTCCGATGTTGGCCGTGAGCGCGATAACCGCTACACTACCGCTCCCCACACACACACCCACACACACACACGCATGCACGCACGGGCACGCACACAAACACACGCACGCAGGCGCACGCACACATACACGCACACACACACACGCACACACACGCACACACACACGCGCACACACGCACACACACACGCACACACACGCACACAAACACGCACACAAACACACGCACACACACGCACACACACACACGCACACACACGCACACACACACGCACACACACACGCACGCACACACACGCACACGAACGCACGCGAACGCACACGCACAGACCGCCCTGTGTGTTCTGTCGTCTGATCGTGTCGACGTTGTGTCAATTGTAGACGACTCACGCGACACCGGCAAACTGCCGTGGCTACCGAGACGCAGCCGATGCCGCGTGCACTTTAGCACGCTGCGGGTAATATGTCTCTAAGTAGCATAAACTTTATCTGGTTATCTTATCATTATGAATCGAATCGTAAATACTTCGGCGGGCTTCAAACGTCGGTGGTTGCCAGCCCCCCGCTGAGGAAGCGACCTCCGATGCGAGTTGATTTTGCGCCCTCCCTTTGATATCGCGTGGGTCGCATTTTGCCGTGACGCTCCGCGCCTCGGGGTCTCACCCGTACTTGACATTGAGGCGCCGTGGGCACAGCGATGCGACTCGGGCCGCTGCTGCGTTGAACGCACAGCAGCCTGGCGTTTGTCATCAAGACTTACCCAGCAGGACGAATGTTTAGTGGGGTAACTGCCAGCGCGCACCGAACACAAATTCAACGCATTCATCGGAAGAGAAAAAAAATGGCCTTAGAATCAAAATAATTATTATGTATATATATGGGGAAGCGTTATTGGCAGTGTGATTATTTACGAACGTGTTGAGTCGATTCTGTGTTGTCAAATTGTGCTTGTGCACGACTGCCCAACGCAGAAAATACAAATCCGCAAGAGTTGGTTGCGACAGGGGCGGTATTCGTTCGATTCCCCGTCGTGTCCGTGGACACGACTTTAATTCAACCGCCGAGCTGTGATTTTGTGATTTTGCTCATGGAAAAAGCTGCCGCAGGGCAATGTAGGCACGCCGAGATCCCCTTGAAGACATGTGCTAAGCCGTGGCTATGCCACTACGGCGCCGAGCGCTGTATATTGTATCGTGATGAGCAGCATTGTCGCGGGCACCTCACGCCGACACTCGTGCAGAGCAGGGGACGTGACTTTACCGAAAGAAACAAAGAGTTTAAATACACGGTGGAAGCAGAAACTTCTCAGCACGGCACACTGTAGAATTGTTTCGCTCAAGACAAAAGTTGGACGAGAGAAGGCAGCGGGAGATTGAGCGTTGCATGCGTTGGCGTGCTTAGGAGAGCCAATGGCTTCGTGAGATATCTTTGACGCGTGCTATATATATATACACACGTGGTGTCTTCTGCGTAGGTACGTTCTACACCGGTAGACTTATCGATATCATTTCTATCCAGACTTTCTACGTACACGTGTCGCTAACACGCACGCAACGATTTCAATCGACACATTTGCAAGTCATACACAAGAAGACACATTAGCTGATTATACTTATATACATATTTGTTAATTAGCCACGTTGAGATACTGTAGATACCTCTTTGGTTATTTCGGTAAAGTAACGTAGAAAGAAAATAAATTAAATAATACAATACGATGTTTCGATTGCAACACCAGCAACCGTCATCAGGTAGAACTACATTTGAGAAAGAGACAAAACAAGTTCTACTTGAAGACGGTTGTTTGTGTTGCAATCGAAACGTCGTATTCTATTATTACATTTATTTTCTTTCTACGTGACTCTACTGAAAGAACCAAAGAGTAACTCCTGCAGTCAAGAAAGCTTCAAATCACTGTAGATACCGTATGCTTGCTATGCTATGGGCTATGGAGACAGGCCATTATCACAAAACGTCGCCGATTACATACGTATATACTGCATTTGTTTCTCTCTTTAAGGCAGTGTTGTAGGCGAGTGTGTTGGACGTCGTGCTCATTGCGCGCGTGCACCACTCTCAACGACGCTTGAGTGCGAGCTGCCGCTCTTCTTGATAAGCGAGCCGCTGCAACGAATTAAAGAACGACAATCGCTTGCTGAGCTAAGCCCCGGGTCCATCGCCGCGCACACCTGAAGGTTTCTCAGTCATTATTCATAACGTGTTGATGTTGCGCGCGCGCGCGCCTTGTTGAGTGTGATGCAGAAGCAATCTACGCACCAATGAGAGATAACTCATGATAGGCACTGTCAACAACGTTCGTTCATCGCGAATTTAATCATGTTTTGAATGGGTATTACTCACCTACAGACAGGCTACATCTCTGTGTATACACTCTGTTTGCATATTGGATAGTTTTTTTTAATGACACATTAATTAACAAGGGTTGTTTTGAGTGTGGGATATGTAATACGATATTGGAGCATTGAAATGGGTAAAATTATAATATTTATCAAGTAAATTAATTATATTCATATAGGAAATGACAGTTAAGGTATTTAAAATATTTTGTATTAATTGATAATTCGATGCATAATGCAGAGTATTTTGGGCAACCCAGCATTACAAAACTAATGGATTAATGTAAACGGAATATTCTATACACAACACGCAATGCGCTCACATGATTTATCAGAATCAGAATATTTATTTAGACGTATATATACAGATACACCGACCGCTGAAACAAACATCTTTTAGAAAGAAAAAAAAAATCCCTACAGAAAGTAGACACACACACACGCACACAACCTCTTGGCAAAATTTTTGTTATTTTAAAACATACCCCCAAAATATAAACATCCCTCCCTTAACTTCAAAGACCCTGGGGACGAGTGCCACTTGCGAGCACCCGACGGCACGAGCGTGTGTGCGGGTGCTGACCACACACCGGTGGGGAGCGGTGGCGTAGTGGTTAGCACACTGCGCAACGAACACCGGGGAGCCACGTTCCATTCTCGCTCGTGACCAACATCAGTGACGAATATCTGACACCGGTCCCGGAGCCTCCCGCTATGTCGACTCAGCCTTAAACGAGTACGCGATGTGATGTGTAAACATCAGCATTGGGGGAGACAAAGACGGACGGTCGTAGTGGTGGCCAACCATGCACCCTCGTGTGCCGTGCCTTCATCGGTGCTGCATGGCTAACACCACTTGCTCCAACAGTCTGTTAAATGTTACACGGGGAATATTTGACTTAGCCTTTGTGGTCTGCGCCACACACACACACACGCGCTACGAGTGACGGATATCTATTTTAGAACACGACCCGGCCTGGTGACCGCAACGGGTGCAGCAGGCCAAGTCCCTGCGATATTCAGAACTGAGGCCCCTGCGCGCAAGGCGGTGGGCACGACGCTCGCTCGCTCGCCCGCACGATTGCGTGGCGCCGCCGCTAATCAACATCGACACCGCGTCCCTCGGGAGCGGCTTAGGCACCCGCAGCGACGTAACGTGCACCTCTCAACCGCAAAGCCCATTTAAGCGACTCAAAGCGCTGTCATCGTGTGGGTACACAACGATTAT